AAATCCACATTACAACCAAAAACGTTTGCGGCACCTCTCTTCTCTTCTTTTCAATATACATACTTTTCTCTCGTTGGAACCACTACAACCTCTTATATATATATATATATATATATATATATATATATATATATATATATATATATATATAAATGAATTAGGATCAAATATAGATCAAATATGGATTGGAATGTTTCATTTTTAAAAGAATTTTTTCTATTTTTAATGATTGCGTTGTTTATTTCCCATTGGTTAAGCAGTCTTCACGTGCATCAGTCTTGTCAAGCAGCGTTTGTGTTTATAATTCATGTACATAAGTGTATCATAATTCTAATCCGTCTATGCGTCATTATAATGAACATTCGTTTCTTTCTCACTCTTCCTCTCTCTCTCTCTCTCTCTCTCTCTCTCTCTCTCTCTGTGTGTGTGTGTGTGCGTGCGTGTATGTGTGTGTGCGCGCACTTGCGCCACTAGTAGGCATTTTTATATATGTTTGGAGATTGTCTGCACATTGATTCATTGATTATATACATACATATATATATATATATATATATATATATATATATATATATATGTGTGTGTGTGTGTGTGTGTGTGTGTCTGTGTCTGTGTTTGTAAGTGTGTGTATGTGTGTGTGTGTGTGTGAAAAATTTTAAACCGTCAACCTTATAGTTAAAAATAATAATTCACCTCTTAAAACAAAACTAAATAGAACAAATATTATTTACGAATTTAAATGTCCATTAAGGAATTGTATTCATGACCAATCAAAATTCGTAAATAATTATATAGGCCACACTACAACATGTTTGACAAGAAGACTCACACTACATCTTTCTGACCAAAGCTCAATTAGGTCTCATTTGAATATTCCTGGAGACCTACTGAACTCTATTCGTAACATACTTGTTGATAACACAAATATAATAGCATGGTCTACATGTAAAAAAAAGGCAAAAAATAATGGAAGCCTTATTAATAAAAAAAAATCCAACACTCAATAATATCAACTGTGAACATGGACATAATGTCTTAACCGTGTTTGAAAATGAAAACATTATATAAATACATACAAACTGCAATGCATTTCTTGTTAACAATTAATATATTTCAACCTTGAAAATGGCTAAATGTATAGCCGACAGCGCTCGGAAAGAAAGAACACAGGGACAGTTTTTATATAATTTATCATCCATAAAGGAAAAAAATATTAGATCACATGAGAAATTTATAAAAAATTAAATCAAATCACCTTGTCTGTCATATTCAATGAAGCGTTCATATATATATACATATATATGTGTGTGTGCGCGCGCGCCTGTATATGTCTGTGTGTGTGTGTGTGTGTGTGTGTGTGTGTGTGTGTGTGTGTGTATTTAATTGAATAATCTAGACATATGTCTATTTATGTTAATTTTAATCTTCTCAAATACAACAGTTTCTTAACGTTGTTATTAAACTCACTAAGGCACCGTAGTTTTCTTCATTTCTTTTATTTTCTGAAGTACTCAGGGGTGAATTGCTCAGACAAAAATGAATTTAATTGATAGTTGTGATATTTTTGTAAATGCGCATGAAACGCTCTCTGTTATTTCAATGAGATTGAAAGTACTTGGAAAAAATAAAAGAATGTCCGTATGCATGTGACTTAATGGTAAGGTGTATTTATTGAGCAAGACTTCATCCAAATAAATTTGTGAAATTCAAATGATATGGTGATTGGAATTTTGAAACGAAACCTTTATTTCGTTCACCGGGGTTGACTGTTCTAGTTCCACGTACCTTGCCTGTTTCCGAATGTTATTTCCCTTTAATTCAACACCTTGGTTCACCTGGCACTGAATTCATAACTCTTTGGGTCTTGTCACTGGATCTAACCAACGTCTTTATCCACTGGGCCAAGTGTCCTTGAGGACATCTGTGCATGAATTTTTGGGACTTATAAACCTAAGTCATTATCATCTTAGATATTCACAAAAGATCAAAATATACTCTTAGGCCCAGTGAATAAAAGCGTTGGTTGGATACAGTGACATCCCCAAAGAGTGGTGAGTTCAATACCTGGCTACTACAGTGGTGAACAAAAACTCGAAGAGCTGATTTAAAGGAGGATAACTGAGACATCTGGAAGATGTATGGCACGTGAAACTAGAACAATTTATCCCGATTGAAGAAATAAATGGTTCAAAATGCCAATCACCTGAAGAAGGCTGGATTGTACAACAGCGGAAACGTTGTGAATATGGCAATGATAGTGAGGATAACAGTCCGAATAATGTAAATAATGTAAGTAATCATAATGCCTCATCTCAGAGATTTAGACAGATACTGAAAACTTGGCACCTGGAGCTGGAACAGTCTACCACGGTGGACGAAATAAAGGGTTCGATTCGAGATTCCAGTCCCCTGAAGAAGGCTGGAGCGTACAACGGCTGAAACGTTGTGAATATGGCAATACAGATGATAGTCCGAATTATGCAAATAATACAAGTAATCATAATACCTCATCACAGTGGTATAGACAGATATTGAAAGCATGGTACGTGGAATTAGAAGTCTCTACCCCGGTGGACGAAATAAAGAGTTCAGTTCGAAATTCCAATCACCTGAAGAAGGCCGGAGCGTACAATAACCGAAACTTTGTTAATATAGCAATAAAGATGAGAATAAGAGTACGAATAATGTAAGTAATCATAATACCTCATTTCAGGGATATAGACAGATATCTAATGAAAAGATTTGTCTAATTCAATTTTTGTTGTATTTTGTTGCATTTTCGAAAAAGATATTGTGTATCGAGATCAAATTTCTGGAGAGATTGTCCAAAGTTCACGAATGTTTGTTTTGTTCAATTACTTTTGACTGTCATCGTTATTATCAAGAACTGGGTGTTGTCAGTATGATAGACACGATTTTTGTGGGCTACATCCGGTTGTTTTATCTCTGTAATTAAAACTGAAACTAGAATCAATTGAAAGTGTCGTCACATAATAACGGCTAAGGGCGAAAGTTACTTCCTTATGCGTAGAGCTTTTGGGCGCATATTAAATCTTTTATACATGCATTAATACAACATATCTTGTGAGAAAGGATATTTCGTTTAGTGTGATCCGTTTCTTTTCAATTCTGAAAAGCTTCTAGAATTTTGAATCTTTTTTGCAATGAGTCCTCTATAATATTTTGGTATTACTTACTAAACTTTAACTATTAATAGTTGTACACTGTGATGAGATTATCGATAGATGCACAAATTGCAATAAATGTTATCCCATATATATATATATATATATATGTGTGTGTGTGTGTGTGTGTGTAAAAATTTCAAATATAATTAAAATATTTTTGTTAAAGAACAATATGAATAAAGACAAAAAAAAATTCCAAAAGAGGAAGAAACGCGGTGGTTAAGATAAGTTTTCATTTTGTTTTTACGTACTAATACCCTTGGAAAATCCATTAATACTCTTCTTCTCCCTCCAGCTATGGGTAAATAGTAGAACATACTCGGTCCTATAGCCTTGGATGACAGCTGGTCTAGAAGGACAACTCTGAGTTCAAAACCAGTGGAGGGTCATTTGGGAACCATGTGGCACGTAGTGCACCAGGTCTCTGTGTTCGGCTCTTCAAAAAGTGTGGTTGGTTCTGCACAAAAGCCTTCACCTCTATAATCAAATCATATGTACTGGTGTATAGATTGTCGGTTCCTAGGAACTTAGCTGCTTGACCCTCAGACGTCGAATACGACGGGAGTCCCACCACCATATATATATATATATATATATATATATATATATATATATATATATATATATATATATATATATATTTGTTGATTGATGTGAGTTTGTGACCTGGGTATCACGCTTTTGTCACAAACTCACATCAATCCAACAAAAATATGTTAGTTCTATCTCTGATATTGAGCGCTTTCTAATAAGTACCGCGCCTATAATATATAAATAATTATTTTATATATATATATTCACACACACACACACACACACACATATATATATATATATATATATATATATATATATATATATATATATATATATATACACACACCCCATTCTCTTCCATGGCCTCTTTATTTTATTTTTATTTTCCTCTTCCTTCTCTTTTCCCTTTCTCCCATTTTTTTTCTTTTCCTTTCCTTTTCGTCCACCCACGACTACTTAGTGAATTAGATTCCCTTCCATCTCGACATGTAAATTCTAGAAGACATTTTATGAAAATTTCCAAAGAACGGAAGTGGGGGATATTTGCTTTGATAACTGTATTTCTGATTAAAGGTTTTTAGTAACACCGTAATTCCCAACCTGATGAGACGTTTAATAAAAGGTTTTCCTTTTTTTATATATATATATATATATATATATATATATATATATATATATATATATATGTCTTTGTGTGCGTGTCTGTGTGCCTCTGTGTGTGTGTTGGGTACGTTGAGATGGTGTAATTGCTTGCCTCACTCGATCAATTACGACTGAGTAGTGAGTTCAATCTCTTTCTGGGTGCTCCATACTTGCGGCCTTATGCCATATCTAAGCAACGCTTAGTACATCACCTGGGTACTTCGACTTCACTGTGTGTGTGTGTGTGTGTGTGTGTGTGTGTGTGTGTGTGTGCACATACTATAGTCCAAATGTTTTGGGCTCACCCACTGGACTGAATAATTTCTCAGTTTCATGCCTTACGTTTTTCACCCATTAGTATATGGTGTCCAGTTTTCTAGAGACGGGGTTAGATAAAATTTTAAATTCGCCATTTTGAATCTTATCATTGGCCAGAAAGGAAGATTAGACAAAATATGCGAATATTTTAAGGAAAATTGATGCATTAATGGGATCATTTCGTTATTGCTATTATTATTATTATCCTATTATAATTCTGCATGCCCCGTCATTAATTAGTTCGCACGACCGTTGCGTCCAGCCAACACCTAGCAAATAATATTTTTGACCGCGTGAATAGATGGAAATGACATATCAGATATACTGTTTGGTTTCTGTGCGAAAGAAAGAAAGAAAAAAAGAAAGAAAGAAAGAAAGAAAGAAAAAGAAAGAACGAAAGAAAGAAAGATAAATGTGTTTAACGTCTCTTGACAATACGTCATATAATACGTTATATAATGGACTATTCCATTTTGATTGCGTGCCAAGACATATCAAAGACACTACTTCGTTTCAGAAAGAAAAAAAGAAAGAAAGAAGCGTTCAAGTTCTGTTTCGGTGAAGTGGAAAAGTTGTCAATTTCAAATCTTTGCATTTGTACCCCCTTACTTCTTAAAATAACGACCATTCATATTTATGATGGTCATTGCAATAAATTTAAGTCCAAATATCTAACGGATATTTTATTGTCGTAGAATTCTCCCTGATCTTATTCAATCATTAACTGAAGAATTAACATTGATCAAAAAGTTCAAATAAGAAAACCATTCCCTCCGTTTGTTAGTTACTTAGTTTGCACGACCGTTACACTTTGCTATTACTACTGTAGAGATTAACTTGACCCCCCCCCCCACTGAGTCAGGTTATGATACAAGGTCTGTTTTTAACGTCGGGACCCGAGTGTTTTCACTCGGGCCGCTAGTCTAAGCTGGTCTTAGCTGGTCAGAGCTGGTCTAAGCTAGTAATAGCTGGTCTTGGTTTGTTATAGCTAGTCCAAGCTGGTCAGAGCCGGTCCGAGCTAGTCGTAGCCGTGATATCACCAGCACAGGGACGGATCCCTGGGCCAAGTAATTATCATTGCTATTACTATTGTATTCAGGTAATGACACGCAGTATTTTGGTATTATGGTCTTATCTATTGCGCCGTATCATAAAACTGAGTGTACACATTATTTGCATATTGTACATACAAGGTACGATTGGTAAATTGTCGCCATATTATATTTTTAATTTCGCGCATGCGCGTTGTTTGTTTTTGATTTTGTCGACTGCACCGTATAGTAGGTTCAGTTGGGCACCGTCTATGTTAAAAAGCGCACTATGAGGCAATTCAGTGCGCCAAAGATTTGCAAACGGGATGCTGTACTGCATTTTCGCTGGAAGTTCCAATACGAACATTTTAAAATGTTTGGGTGTCAATCTGAGAACAGTGCAGGGAATTCAAAAGGGTTGAATGATATATCCAGTTAACATCATGGTGTTTGGAGTGATCACTAGTGATGCCTCTATTTATCTTCACACGGGGTTTCACACATAACATCAAGTGCTTTTAGGAGGTAGTGTTGCTCTTAGTCAAGAGGGCGGTTGCTGAAAGACCGTAGGACTCTGTGCCATGCCATACAAGCAGGAGTACTAATCATGGCTGTCAGACAATTTCTTCGGCTACATCACTCCTTACATCTGGCCACCTAATTCCTCCTTGATTGCAGCCCCTTTGAGAGACCAATAAAACTCCTTGTACCACCAAATATGAACTGAAGGTAAGGATTATGGCGGCATTCACCAACTTAAACGAAGAGAACGTCCAGAAGAGATGTAGAAGATTCCGAAGTCGTCTGGAGGCAGTTGTTGGTGCCAATGGTGATTTTATTGAACAAATTTATTGTTTAATATTTCAAGATATTTTTGTGTCATTTTGGTAAATATGTCTGTTAAAATGAGATGTCAGGGATATTTTCATTTTTACGTAGTTTAAGCGACAATTTATCCATTGCACTTTGTGTATATGATCATATTACGTTAAATAAGTAAAAATGAAAAGAAATCATTATTGCTCTCCATAAATGCCGGTAAAACATCAATTCAAGATTGCTTATTATAGTGTTTTTAGCTAATATATATATATGAGTTTCAATTATATTTCAAACTTTTCTACACCCGCCCCATGATTTTGTCCATCGGTGTTTATCTGTTTATCTGTTAAAATGAGATGTCAGTGTTATTTTCATTTTTGCGTATTTTAAGACAATTTATCTAAGACACTCATTACATGAGTTCCGGTATCAAATACTTGGAAAATAAGTGTAAAATGTTATTTACATATTACTGTACATATTTTTTTTCCTAGCTACATTAAATGCTTAAGAATTGAGTAACTTCACAGCTATAAATGCCATTTGAATATATCCCGGATGTAACAGCAAATTTGACAAATCATGTCATAGCAAAATTATGCAATTGTAAGATTAAGCATTGAGCAGTTATGTCTTAGAATAAATTAAAGATATCTTACTGAAATTCTCCGAGGTTTTTATAACCATTTAATTTTCCTTGAAGATGAAACGGAACTAATGCTTTTAATTTAATTATATAATTAAATTGAAAGTTTTTAGCTTCCATTTGTGAAACATGGTTATTACTGGGTAGCGAAAAGACCATATTTTAAATCATTTAATCTATAATATTTATGCTCTGTAAATTTACATTGAGCACTGTTTTGTAAAAATAAAAATAAAAAATAACAAGAACACCGGATTATATATCTTACTGTTCTTTCTTTATATACATACATATATATATATATATATATATATATATATATAAATATATAAATTAGTAAATCAGCGGATTCCGCTACCTTGGTATCTTCCGGCGATTTTGGTCAATTGATTTCCTAAGGCTTTATTTTAAAAAATAAAAAATTATGAACGTTATATTCTTTTCATTTTTTAAAACAAAAAAAAAACATAATTATATATGCACAGGATGTGAGGCGTATTAGATGGTGAGGAAGACGAAGGGAAAATCAAGTGTGTTGGAAATACATCGGAGGGGATTAAATAAAATATACATACGTTATTTTTATCCCATTTCAAATGAATTCAAAAGAACTTAATTAGCATGTATACAACGGGATATATTTTCCGATCTCTGGTTTTAAAGTTTTTGAGTCTGAAAATGTCATTATCGCTAATTTTTCTTGTTGACAAAGGTTGCATATATATATATATATATATATATATATATATATATATATATATATAATCTTATAAATATAAGTAAGTATACTCTCGTCCGGAAAAACCTTTGGTGTTTTGGCTTGTAAATGAACAAACCAATACCCAAGAAAAGAGAAAGAATAAAAAAGAAAGAACAAAGAACATGTAATTTAGGCGAAAACAATTGACTAGAATCCAAGCTCAGAGTCCAAAGAAAAAAACCTCCAACACGAGTAAAGCAAAAATAACTAAGCAAAGTGCTCAATACACTAAGTAGACCAAATCTAACTATGAACCTAAAAAGCCAGGCAAACCTACCTAAGTTTCACCTACACGGATCGTCAGGGTACGCCGGCGTACCCTGACCATCCCGCGTAGGTGTAACATAGGTAGGTTTGCCTAACTATATTATATATATATATATATATATATATATATATATATATATATATATATATATATATTATATTTAGGCTCTGTAGAATTGTATTGAGCACTGTTTTTTAAAGAAAAAAAAATTAATAAGAACACCGGATTATAAATCTTACTGTTCTTTCTCATTATTTTAATATATATATATATATATATATATATAGAGAGAGAGAGAGAGAGAGAGAGAGAGAGAGAGAGAGAGATCTTTTATCCCAAGCAAGGCGACAATGGTACTAGGTCGCAGAGAGTGAAAGAGAGTGAAAGAGAATGAGAAGACTTTAGCGGAGACAAAGGACAATAAAAGAACCGGTTTCAGGAAGAGAGAAGATAGCGACGTTGTATTTATCTTGTTGAAGATTGCTGGTGGCAGGAAAACAAGAACTAGAAAGGCCTCCCACAAGCGATTAGACCGAGGAAAGAAACTATTAGAATATGACATACGGTTGTATCTTGCTAGTTCAACAGTAAATCAGTGAGACCTAGTGGCCAATCTAGTAGCACACATGAAGTCGAGACAGCAAGAAGGAAAGCTAAACAAAAACAATCTCCATGAAAATCTTTGCAGAAAAGATATAAAAGTCACATGACGTCGGTGGAAAAGTAACTGAAGTCAAGGATCGATACATTACAGACTCTTCTTTGGAATTGGTCAAGAATCACGAGATATAAAGTAGGATCAATAGACGAGATATGGCAGCGATATTCAATGCCCTGATGAATGGTAGAATGTTATACATACCTATTTTATTGGGGAAACATTAATTAACATAACAAAACTTGACATAGTTTAGGTGGATCAGCAATATTATTGGTCCTGACCTGTTATCTCGGCTTCAGTCTCTTTCTTTCCTACCACCATAATATAGTTTCTCAGTGCTTTTTCTATATATACGTTCATGGTTTCGGATGAAATCTCCGTTATCGTGCCTATACTTTATGAATTTAAACGCAGTACTAGATTGGCAACAAGGTCTCATCAGTTTACAGTTGAATTGGCCAAATGTCACCGTAAGTTCTATGCCAACAGTTTCTTTTCTCACACTTCTCGATTACAGCTTCATGCTTTCCAGTCAACTTTGATCTTCAAAAATTTAAATGCCCTGTCAACCATTATCTACTGTCTTCTTGATTACTCCTGTTTCGCCAAAACAAGACATTCATACTTCCTATTTTTACTTCAGCCACCACATGAAGTCCTAACTAGTGCTCACATGCAAAATTTGTCTGTGGAGAGTTCATCTGAACAATTACCATGAAACTATTTATAGAAAAGGTAGAGGGAAGCTACGTTACGGCGATGGGAAAGAGACTGAAGCCGAAATGCCAGGTCAGGATCAATAATTCCTGGATTCCTGTAGGGTACCTAGACTTGATTAATTTAAGCGCAGTGCTACATTGCTGATAAGGTTTCATTAATTCATTGCATTCTGTAGATTCATAAGTTCTATGCTAAAAGTTTCTTTTCTCGCACTTCTCGCTTGTGGAACTCTCTTCCGGCCCCATGCTGTCCTGCCAAATTGATCTTCAAAATTTTAAATATAATGTCAATCGGTATCTACTATCTGCTTGATTACTCTTCTTTTATTCTCGCTCCTCAATAATTGGTTCTCTTTTTTTCTATTCTTCACAGTCAGTAACCCCTTGCGTCTTAGTGGCTTTCTGGCCTTGCGTGGCTTGAAATGATTAAAAACGAGAAATACGAACAGACTGGGATAGATAGATAGATAGATAGATAGATAGATAGATAGATAGATAGATAGATAGATAGAAACAGACTGATACATAGATAGAAACTGACAGATATATATATATATAGATAGATAGATAGATAGATAGATAGATAGATAGAGAGAGAGAGAGAGAGAGAGAGAGATACATAGATAGATAGACGACTGATCAAAGTCGCGTTATTTTTTCCTATATTTATATATATATATATATATATATATATATATATATATATATATATATATATATATATATATATATATATAATTAATACACATACCGGGGTGTAACAGTAAATTTGTCCAAATCGTGTAACACCATGAGATAATTGTCCATCCCACAAAATGTTTAATATCTAAAAAAAACTACTAAACCAATTAATTTTATTTTTCAGATAAGATGTTTAGCCATCATGACATCATTTGTCGTAAGAATCACTAAAAAAAACCTTTGTGCTATTCAGCAAGAAAGATAACAGGTTAAAATCGTTTTGTGCCAGCCCCAATATGTCTTCCCAAATGAGCAATGGTGAGAGGAAAAAGAATATTCAGGCCTTCATTAATAGTTCCAACATTCATACTCTGGCTTCCATCTTCAAAATTCATCAAGAAATAAGTTTTAAAAAGAGGGAATAGTAAAAAGGAAAACTCGATCAGGAAGTCATAACAGCAACATCATTTCGACTTAGAGCTATATACATTCTTATTGCTCAGAGTCGTCCAATAGTGTTATAATAATCTCGGAGAATTCCAGTAAGATATCTTTAATCATTTCTAAGATACAACGGTTCAAAGCTTAATTTAACACTTTGACAATTTTACTGTTACACCTAGTATGTGTGTGTGGGCGGGGGTGCGCCTGGCGCGTGCACGTGTGTGTGGACATGCTAAGATATATAGATAAATAGACAAAAAAACATACTGAGATAGATAGGCAGACAGACAGACACTAAGATAGATAGATAGATAGATAGATAGATAGATAGATAGATAGGGAGAGAGAGAGATAGAAAAAAGAAAGAAACTGATATAGTTTCAGAATGAAGGCCGCGTTTTTTGGCAAGTTATTATTTATCGCTTGTTTGCTACCTAAGCTGTTTTTCCTTCCTAATTACTTCGCTTATATTTGACATCCCCATTGGAATTTCAATGGGAAATGGGAAGAAGATGGCACGTTCCCAGAATTCCTGTCTGTGAGAGTCAACAGCAGCCATTTTGAACTCCCGTATCGTTTTTCCCCATCCAGTCACCCATTCATCACTCGCGTGTTCCTGTTTCAGATACCAGAAATACACGTACGTCGTTAATTAGGGTCATTGCTTGTGTTTATAAGTTTATTTAAACAAATGTCTTCATCTTCGTTGTTTATCCGTTGTACTTGAATATCAGTTTCATCCATTTGTCCGGGGCCTTTTACTAATCACAATCCAATATTTTGATACTGATTTCATTTTTTTTTCTCACTCAAATTCATAGGTTTGGAATGTTGATCATCCTCAGGTCAAACAAGACATATATATTGATTCTTGTCCGTGGGACATAAATTGGTTAGTTTCTAAGACATGACTGTAAACATGCAGTGTTGATTCCGATGTCTACACTGTCTATATCTAAAAACAGTATGTCTCTGTTACTAATCACCCTTCCAATATAAATATAGCATATATTAAACTATATATATATATATATATATATATATATATATATATATATATATATATGTATACTGAAATCTCACGTCGTTTTTACGACGTATGAGGGTCAAGCAATACAGTTCCTAGGAACCGAAAACCATACATTTGCACATAAGATTTGATTATAGTGGTGAAGGCTTTGTGCAGAACCAACCACACTTTTTGAAGTGCCGAATACAGAGACCTGGTGCACCGTGTGCCATAAAGGTCCCCAAACGACGCTCCGCGGGTTTTGAATTCAGAGTTGTCCTTCTCCTACGGCAGTTGCCACCCAGCCTGTCATGCTATTTACCCATTGCTGGGTGGGGAGTCATACTTTTCGCAAGGGTATCAGCACGTAAGTGAATGTAATGGATCCGACTGGAATTGATGGATTTTTTAATCAGGCATATTTTTTTTATTTCCGTGTAGACGCTCTGTTTTTTGTTGTTTTTTGTTGTTTTTTTTTTAAAAAAAAGTTTATATCGTCTAGAAAAATTATTAAGGAAAAATGTACCCTTCAGCAGCATTCGAACCTTGATCCTCCATTGCAGGGGAACCAGCATTTCTACGGAGAGCTTCACAATTAATATTATTTTTAGTAGATACACATATTTAAGTAGACATTCCGTTTCTTTTTTTATCAGTGTTTATTTCATCTAAGGCCTGTGCACAAGAGAAAGCTTACAAAAAAAAATGTGCCCTCCGGCAGGATTGAACCTGAATCCCCCTTTGCAAGAGAAATAACGTTTAATAAAAATATGTCGGATAAAGAAAATAAAATCTATTAATTCTTTAGAAATTGTTTAGTTTACGTTTTTGGATACGAAACCGAAAATATATGGCATTCGAAAAAATCTGAATCAATGAATGTCCATTACGGTAAACAGAACATTATTGACTACGAAGCTCTCTGTAGCCGAACAGTAAAAGCACACCGGAGTAGACTACATTGTCACATTTTATAATGCATGTCCTTTGAAAACACCGGAGGTCACATTTTCCTTGATAGATATATACTGGACTCTCCCGTCGTTTTTGCGATGTATGAGAGTCAAGCAATACAGTTCCTAGGAACCGACAGCCATAGATTTGCACATAAGATTTGATTATAGTGGTGAAGGCTTTGTGTAGCACTAACTATACTTTTTGAAGGGCCGAATACAGAGACCTGGTGCACTACGCGCCACAAGGTCCCCAAACGACCCTCCGCAGGTTTTGAATTCAGAGTTGTCCTTCTCCTAGACCAGTTGCCACCCAGCCTGTCCTGCTATTTACTCATAGCTGGGTCACATACATTGATAAGGTTTCTCAAGTGCACAGGCCGGTAAACGAAATAATCACTTATATTTATATTATGTAATACACGCACCATTTTTGTTTTTTACTTCAAACGGTATTTATTACGTCTGTTGGCAGGAGCATTCGAGAAATCTTAATGAAAATGTACTCTCCGGTAAGGATCGAATATATTTTTTAAGATCTCTCTCTCTGGAGGAGAAAATTATATAATGACTTTCCCTTACCAACAAAAATCACTAGATAAACGAATCGAATTCATCTCAAAATGCAGACACGGAAACAAATTTTTTCTACGTCACTGAAAAATCGAAAACTAAAAACGAACACGAAAAAAAAATAAAAGTAAAAATATATAAAAATAAATACATAAGTAAAATAAAATAATCCAAATCAAAAAATAAAGTAAAAAATAAGTAAAGTATATAATAAAGCAAAAAATAAACACAAGTAAAAAAAATATAAGCAAAGTAAATAATAAACAAAGCAAAAAAAATAAACACAAGTAAAAAAAAAAATAAGCAAAGTAAATAATAAGGAAAATTAAATAATAAACGAAGCAAAAATAAACACAAATAAAAAATAAGCAAAGTAAATAATAAACAAAGAAAAAAATAAACACAAGTAAAAAATGAGAAAAGTAAATGGAAAAGCAGAGAAAAGGAAAACAAAAAGGTCATTTATACTTTAATTCAGAAAGATACAGTTTAACTTTCTAGGGTGTATATTAAGGAAAGACGGTTTAGAGAATCTGGTACTCACAGAACATATTAAAAGCAAGATGGGGCAGAGAAAAGTACCGCATGACTTATCTCACAGGGATTAGGAGAGATGGCAAAAAGATAAACTTTACAAAGGGCAAGAGATTGTGGAGATCTTTGATTACCCACACCCTAGATGAACTCGGCACAGAGAAGAAGAAGAAGAAGAAGAAGAAGAAGAAGAAGACTTTTAAATGCCCGTCTCTCACTTATTACTTTGTGATAATTATCGTCGAATGCCTTACTCCAAAGGGATTTAGAAACATTTATAACCCAGTGCCATTTTGAATTGTGACGATCCGAAAACGAGGCTAGAAATGGCCTTTCATTAAATGCTTACAAAATAGGGCGGGCACTATAATTATTTTGTGATATTTCAGTGAATCCATAAAAATCGAGCAGGCTCGGAAGACGTGATCTTTAAAGGGTATATGCAATTAATTCCGGCGACAAAGTTTAAGTTTTAAAGCACCCATAGTATGTAAACAGAACATGTTTTTATATACACTCAGTTAAAAGCCGCCGAACATGTCCGTTAAGTACAATGTTAAATCAATTCTTTTGTATATTATAAATTAAAAATAATATATATATATATATGTGTGTGTGTGTGTGTGTGTGTGTGTGTCTGTGTCTCTCTGTGTGTGTGTGTGTGTGTGTGTGTGTGTGTGTGTGTGTGTGTGTGTGTGTGTGTGTAATAAGAATATATATATATATATATATATATATATATATATGAAATATAAAATTTAAGATGCCTTTATCGGCAAATAAATAATAGTGGGTTATATTATTTACATTATTCGGACTATTGTCCTCATCTTTGTCGCCATATTTATTACAACGTTTCGGCCGTTGTACGCTCATGCCTTCTTCAGTTGAATGTTGAACTTAACCCTTTATTTCCCTCAAGGACACATGGCATAGTGGATAAAGGAGTTGATTAGATCTAGTGACAGGACCCAAAGTATGTGAGTTCAATACCCGGTTAAGGAAGTGGAGAACTTGGAGAGGGGAATTAGCAGGAGATAACTGATAACTGACATCCATTAAACATGGCACATGGAACTAGAACAGTCTACCCCAGTGAGCGAAATAAAGGGTTATGTTTGACATTTCAACCACCTGAAGAAGGCCGGAACGTACAACGGCCGAAACTTTGTAATAAATATGGCGACAGAGATGAGGATAATAGTGCGAATAATGTAAATAATGTACATAATACCTCATCCCAGAAATATAGAAATACCAATAGTGGGTTATTATGCAATTAACGAAACGCGTTAGCTTTTACTTCTGCGAATTGCAGTGTTAAGCGATTTCAGAACATTTCTTTAAATCATTTCACTCCAAGGAAGGCGATAAAGCCACTAAAACGCCGGGGATTACTGAGACTTACGTTAGCAGGTAAAGGATAAAAAAGAGGATTCAGGAAGACAGATGTTGATTGGCGTTGCATTTACATTTCTGAAGATCGTAGGTTGCAGGAAAACAAGAAAACGGAATAAAGTTTCAAAGGCGTCAAATACGAGAAAGAAAACTATTCAAATAGAACATACGTAGCTATTTGAAGAATTCAATGATGAGACCAAATAACCAATCTAGTCATACGCTTAAATTCATATTGTTGAGGTAGCAAGGTGAAGAGATTATTATAACAATTGCCATTAAGAATATTTATAGAAAAGACAGGGAAGCCACTTCACGGCGGTGTGGAAGTAACTGAAATCAAGATGGCAGGTCAGGGGCGATGATAGTACAGTCCCTTGTTTCGATGGTAGAGAGTCCTGAGATATAGTACAGATCAAATATGGTTGTAATGTTCGGTGCAGGAACGAATGGTAGGCTTATAAATCTTAAAAATGGATTCTGGCGAGAAACATTCTCCGTCAAGACACATTGGATCAACTTTATATATTATATATATATATATATATATATATATATATATATATATATATAATAAAGGGTTAAACACTAATAATATTCCATGGTCATAATTTATGCCATTGGAATTGTAAATACGAGCTAATTGGATCGTATTTACGATTCCAATGGAATAAATTATAACCATGGAATATTAATGTTTAAGCCTTTTATTATATCTACTCTGTCCTGGACATTGAGTTCTACCTGGATTCTATCCTCTTGGAATTTTTTATTCAAAAAATATACATGTATGTGCATGCACCTATGTAGATATATTTATATATTTTGCATATGCATGTGTATATTTACCACTAATATTGATATATATATATATATATATATATATATATATATATATATATATATATATATATATATATATATATATGGTTGGATAGATGTGAGTTTGTGACCCTGGGTTTTACGCTTTTGTGATCGTCAGACAAACTGATTAATTTTAGTTCTTCTCTCTGATATTGAGCGCTTTCTAATAAGTACCGCGCATATAATATATAAATAATTTATATATATATATATATATTTATTTATATT